TGATCGAGGCCATCAATCGCCTGGACATGCTTCTCCGGATGAAGTTCGAGTGGGATCGCCGTGTGGCTTTTCATCGCAGAAAAGTTGCTGTGGTGACCTCATCCGGGCTTCAACCATCCACCGGGAGCCGTACGTTGCACCATACGAACGGCGAGCGGGCTATGGCGTCGTAAGGGGCAGGGGAGTGCACGGCGAGGCTTTCACGCACTCGCCGTAGAGGCCATGCTTTGTCGACATCATTCGAGCCGATCGAGAATCGGCTGCTCCCCGAATCGTAGTCTCAGTGACCGCGACGCGGCACTGAGCCTCGCCACCGACCCAAGGGTCAACAGCACCATTCCCGTCGAGGTCCGGAAATAGTCCGCAGGCCTCAACGACAACGCCCGCGCCTACATCGACACCTACGCCCTGGAAAAACTGGGGACGGGTTTGAAGGAAGGCCTGAGGAACGTGCCAGAAGACGCGATTGCCTGTAGCGCCCCATAGGAACAGGTGCCTTCCCGGATCCCTTGGCCCTGCCGCGAGCTCGTTACCAACCTGCAGAATTGCGCGGAGCGCCGCAATGTCGCCCGGGTTCGTATCGGCGTATGTGTAGGTGTAAACGGTGCTGGCCGGATCGATGGCCGATGCGGTAACACGGCGATTCGCTGAATCGAGCGCGCGCGAAATCGAAATCGCCAGCGTCACATTCTCGTTCCAGTTCGACTCCCTCATCTCTGCACGGACGTAGCGAAGGAACACGACGGAAATTGCCCCTGATATCACGGTTGCGAGCATCAGATTCAGCAGGGAAACCCCCCGAGAGGATCGCGGCGACTTCATGTCATTCACCGGGTGGCACTGATCGACATGAGCGGTACCGACATGCCAAAGAAGCTGAGCAGTACGACCGAAACGGTCAGGATCATTCCGAAAGATGAGAAGACGGCATTGATGAAGCCGACATTGCGCTTCATTTGCTGCACCAGCAGCGGCCTGATCTTCACCAGCAGGTCGGCCTTTTCGACATCCCGGATCTGGTCGAAGCCAAACATAGCCTGCCTCAAGGTCTGATGCCAGAAAGGGTCCTGGAAGGCCTGCGCCAGGCCTGCACCTTGGCTCACCTTGGTCTGGATGCGCGCGATCGCGCGACGTTGCCCCATGCCGCCGTTNTTCGCGGCGACCAACTCGGCCGCCGTGCAGGCGCCGGCACGCGTCGCAGCGCCATCCACCGCCGCGCCGGGAGCAAAGTAGGTCGGCGCAGCATTGATCAGCGGATTGGCCCCCGATGCGAACTGCTGGGTGATCGCGGCAGCGAGGCTGTTGCACTTGCCAACCGAGGTGGCGCCGTCGGTTCCGATGTTGTTGCAGGGGAAGTTGATGCGAACGCTCGCTGCCGTGCCGGCGGTGCCGACACCCCAGTTGGTGCCGGTATCGGACCACGGCAGCTTCGGGTCGACGCCGCCGCGCTGCACGATGACATCGCGGCCAGCAGCGTTGGCAGTGATGGGAGCGTAGGTCTGGCCGGAGCTGTAGTAGATGTTGGTGAGCGTCGTCGGCACATCGGCCGTGATCAGCTCGAGGCCGCGCTGGAATTCGGTTTCACCACGCTGACCCTGGGCGAGACGGATCGCCGAGATGGTCAGAATCGCACCGATGACGGTAGCCAGCAGGATCTGCAGCAGCGACACACCCCGTTGACCTTTCGGGACCTTCTTCACGTTGTTGGACATCGTTTGCTCTCCTTCAGGAAGCCCCGGGTTGTTTGTGCGTGCGTTGGGGCGGTACACGCCAGCGTAGCTACACTAGCGACAATCACAAGAGCGGTGTAGGTCAGGATTGACCAGATCGGGCTAAATTCTTGACTGGCCTACGACAGACAATGACGGCCGATCCTGAGGCGTCTGGTTGCTCCCCATACCCTTCTTTTCCGATGGCGACAGCACGTCCCTTTCACCAATGTCACCGACGGCGTCGTCGAAACTAATGACACCCGTGCGGATCAGGAACATCGCGTGCTGCCATAGATCCTTGAAGCCACTTTCGACTGCGATCTGGTGCACTGTCGCGAACGACTGCTTGCTGGCGATCGCCTGAGACACGTTCGGGGTCATCAGGAATAGCTCACTGACCAGGGCCCTGCCTTTGATCCCGCCATCGCACTTGCTGCATCCCGGGCCCTTGATGCGGACGGTGCGACCATCCGGGTAGAAATCGAGGTCGGAATAGGTTCTGGGAGCATTCGTGTAACGCAGCCGCATGAGTTTGTTGTCACGGTGGTTCAGGACCGGGTGAAGCCCGGACGTCAACTCATCCCAGGATGCCTCCATCGAACACTCCGTACAGAGCCGCTTCACAAGCCTTTGTGCGGTCGCCGCCTTCAACGCTGACGACACGATGAATGAGTCGCAACCCATGTCGATCAATCGAATGGCGGTCTCGATCGCGGAATTCGTATGAATCGTGCTCAAGACGAGGTGGCCGGTGATCGAGGCCGTCAATGCTTGAGTTGCTGCATCCATGTCGCGGATTTCGCCGACCATGATCACGTCAGGGTCACCGCGGAGAAATGCTTTCAGACCTCGGGAAAAGGTCAGCTCAGCTTCTTGATTCACTTGAACGTGATTGACGTTGGGAATGCTGATCTCGACAGGATCCTCGATCGTGTAATACACCCTGTTGGGGTAGGTCTTCAGCATCTCGCGCTGGACAGCGGAGAGCGTTGTTGTCTTTCCTGATCCGGTAGGGCCACTTACAAGGATCAAGCCGTTTTTCCGTTCGCAAAGAAGCTGAATGGCTGTGATCTGGTCATTCCGTTCGTAGTCAGGGATACCCAGATCTGTCAATGCCATCTGCTCGATGCGATTCCCGAGGAGTCGCAGCACGAGCTTCGGCATCATCTCCTCACGATCCGGCAGCACTACCGGAACCATCATGACGCGCAGCTTGATGATTCTTGGACCTGGAAGGGAGAAGACGAACATGCCATCCAAGGCT